CTCTCTCTCTCTTTCTGTGATTTGTTGCTGTGCATGTGTTTGTGTTTGAACACAGGAGTTTGAACCCAGGTCCCTCACACTGTGCTATATCCCTAGCTCTTCATTTTTTAAGCTTTTTTAGACATGATCTTTCTAGTCCTCAGTTGCCCTGATGAGGAACAAACTTAGGATCCTCCTGCCTCAACCTCTCAGCATACTGTGCCTCTCACCATACAGGCCATATAGGCCTGCCCCACTAAGTTTGAGCTTTGACATCAGTCTTGACCTGTGAGAGCCAAAGCCAGAGGCAGCCACTACCCACAATATATCTATGTGCCTTATGGTGCTTACATACCCAATGTCTGGGTGATTGGGAAGCAGAGACCAATAATTTTCATATCTAGAACTTCTAGTCTGAAAACGGTTTCCACATCTCCATTGAATTTTCCAAATTGGATTATTATCTTGAATATGCTTATGTGGTTGTGTTAAAAACTGTCAAATGTATTCAAATTAGTCAATGTAAATCATAAGCTTTCTATATTTTAATTATTTATTATTTCTACTTGTTTCCTCAAAGTAGCTTGAAAGTCTTTTGAACCTGGTTATATTTTTTGACTTTGATACATGTATTAACTCAGTTTTTGGGGAACTGAGACATGATCTTCTCCAGAGACAATTTATATTTGCTTGTGACATATAGAGTAGGGAACTAGCAATTGGAATCATTCTGATCACCATCATAGAAACTGAGATCATTTGGACAAAACTATCTTTTAGTATTCCCTAATTAATGTTTAGGGAGTAGTAGGGCATTCATTAAAAGTAAATTGATGCTTAGGGAATACTAGGATTGCAGAGTTTAACTACAAACACTGGTGGCAGGCATGTCTTTGGTCTTGTTTCTCCTTAAAAACCAAAGTCTAACTGTTTCCTGTTAACCTAATGAAGTTGTCAAAGTTTTTTCAGACTCCTCATCCATGCAGATGTTTCATCTGGAACTGGCAAATAGTGCAAAACAAAGTGGCCTTATGCTTCAAATTCACCTTCCCAAATACCCTTTTCTCCTGGATCATGAATAATTCCTGAATATCCTTATATGTGTCTGATATATTAAAGATTTTTAATAATACATTTCCAAGATATCCTAGACTTTCTTTGCAGGAGAATTGATGTGTAGAAACTACCCTATCCTTACTGGAAATGGATGGTACATGTGTAGCATTGTTAAGAAATGTAGTAGCAAATTTCTCTGAGGTAGTAGTACTCAAATCCACAGTGTGACTCACAGTCACTGAGTGCACTTACACTTTAAAGTAACTAACAATTATGGGATGACAGAG